TTTCGGGAAAACCATGCCTAAAAATGAGTTGTAGATTTATGCAAAAGATATGCCGGTTTTATTTTTTAAGAACATGCTCTAATAAAAATTCTGGCTCTCTCCCATCCGTCGTTACGCTTCTGTAATAAGACAAGAAATGAGGGTCAAGTGGATACCTTTAATAATGGTTGTACAAGTGCATGTAGTATTCTAGTGTAAAGGAAGCCTTATCTAGTCATCCAGCATTTATAAATGTAAGCAGCGATAGAAGTTGCATTAGCCTCCAAAATCACGTTTTCCTTTCTCCCCATCATTCGAAGTTCGAATGATTGGAATTGTTATCTTACAGCTTGGTAGATCGACTTGAGTTCGGGCGGAAACTGTAACAGGAGTTATTATCTCATCTTCCTTGTCGTGAATTGAATGAAGGTGCAGTAATGTCAGATAAAGTGAGTTTTATTAAATCACGTTTTACCCCCTGTGGATTATTCACTTGTTTCGCCTATAATAGATGGAAGTTCATGACAAGGAAGATGAGATAATAACTCCTGTTACAGTTTCCGCCCGAACTCAAGTCGATCTACCAAGCTGTAAGATAACAATTCCAATCATTCGAACTTCAAAGTCTCATCGGTAATACGAACACTGATGATAGCGGAATTCTCTTTTTTTCGTTCCACGTCACAAGTGTCAAATTCATCCACGTCTTTTCCTATATTAAACTTTTTTCGTTCCTGTCGAATCCTCGTCATCAAATATGCTACATCTATGATAAACAATCACATTTTTATCATACATGCATTCCCATATATCAACGAGTCCGGTAAACATGCCTGAACGCAACAAAAGACGTATTTTTGCGTTTTTCCTGAATCCCAGACTAACTCTACTGTTATTATCACTAACAAACGCCAACAGATACGGAACAACCAAAGATCTTATGCTCATTTGCAAATCGACGAAGATATTTTGAATATACCGGTTTGTAGAGAATTGAAAGAGCTATAAAACGCACTATTTTAGAAAAATGGGCTTTTTCGTTTTTTCGAAAAAAGTTAGCTTAATGATCTCCAGGTCGCATTTTTCTCTAGTCATACTTGTTAAGTCGAACTTAATGATCTTTTGCAAATCGACGAAGATATTTTGAATATACCGGTTTGTAGAGAATTGAAAGAGCTCTCTAATTATGGGTTGATTTCTTTATATGCTCCTATAGTACCAGAGAAAAGCGCATGAGAAAGATTTTAATAGTGCTCCATAATGGCCGCGTCCAAGTGAAGATCCTATCGGGATGAAAGGGCTTTAACCACTCGAAAGCACCTAAAATCGAATGTTCCTGATTTTCTGCTAGTCTCAGGACTATTTTGAGCAAAAAAAAACGTGGGCCGATTCTTTAGCTTCTACGGACCCGTCCTTTTAGTATGTAGCCTTTTGAAAAACCTCTTGAAAACCATTTTTATTCAAGGTTAAAACGATTAAGAGCCAGTAATTTGATTAGAATATTCTTTTTTAAATTAACAGCAGCCATATACTAAACTGAAAGACGTTTCGACTCTTCATAGAGTCATTTTCAAAGAATATTACAGAACATTACTGTACTTTACGCATGAAATGTTATGAAAAGGAAGAAGAATTTTGTCTGTATATATTGTGTGTTACTTGTAGATAGTCAATCAGTAATTATATGATCAGTCCCTTTTGTTTCACTCTGCATAACATTTCTCTATCCGCCTGGATCAATATTCCTTTTGCTCTTTCTCTGAGAAAGGCCGTCTGGAAACACAATCGAAGGCACAGATCTAACTGTACGATCTAAGTCAGGGTTGAATGATGCTATAAACAAATATTCTTTGACTAACAATCGATATTCAACTTTGTCCCTGTCCATTATACGCCAATTCTCCCAATCAATAGTGTGAGAGGTATCTTCAACATGTTTTTGTAGAGCAGACTTCTAATCTATATGTCTGAATAATTATCAATCTCTTTGAGAATCTTTCGATCAGATTGATAATTAAAGATAATAAGAGATTGATAATTATTCAGACATAAAGATGTGAAGTCTGCTCTACAAAAACATGTTGAAGATATCATATAATTAATGATTGTATAATTACTGACTGACTGTCTACAAGTAACACACAATATATACAGACAAAATTTTTCTTCCATTTCACAACATTTAATGCGTAAAGTACAGTAATGTTCTGTAATATTCTTTGAAAATGGCTCTATGAAGAGTCGAAACGTCGTTCAGTTTAGTCTATGGCTGCTGTTAATTTATTCAAGGTCTCAAAACTCACTAACTGCCCAGGTATGTTCCGTTTTTCAAGCTCTATTCAACCATGTCCTTGGAAATGTTTCAGCTAGCTTACTGAACGCAGAGGGTGCAGTTTTAAAACAATTTCAAATTCTCAAATTTTAAAATTTAAATAAATATTTCAGATGAGTTGGAGCGTCCGACTTTTTTAAAAATGTAGCCAAGTCAATTCTAAACAGAACCGCTAATTTGAAATATTTTTTACAGACAAGTGTTTCTTTAAAAAAAATTATTTTCTGTAACTGGATGTGTGGAAAACCGTGGTTTTCTGAAAACCCTACTTCTGACATTTTTAAAATTATTTCTCGTTAGCCATCGGGAAGAGCATCACTTAAAACCCTTAAGGACTGAGATTTATCAAAATCCGTTCGGCGGATCTTGAGATAGCATTTTCATGTTACACGTCTATTGATACTATGGATAGTAGAAGTCAAAATCGAGGTCGGTTTTACGCTAACTACAATAAACGACGGCCGTAAGATGTCGAATTCCATCCTTTACATGGAACCGTATCACAGCCCGTTTATGACTGCAGTATTCTGACGTAATTCAACGTTTCCGACCTCTTACTGCCCGCTCTGAACCACGTGGTGTTTTTTGAGATAACAAGCAGTTTCTGAAAGCTTAATTTGTTATGCACCTTCGTGTCTTTCTTAGGATGTCTTTAATTATACTTATGTTGTTTGTCTTGAAAAGGGCTCATTCATTTGCAGTGTCATTCTTTTACTCGCAGTTTCTCTTGTCTGCACTTAATTGCAATTTCTCCCCGTTTCTGAATTTAGCATGAAGGTAGCGTCTAGGCATGCACCAATACAATATATTGGGTCCAAATAATATTGGTCACCCAATCTATTGGGACCAATAATATTGGTCATCCAATATATTGGATTTTCACAGTATTATTGGGTATTGGATCAATTGAGTTCGGCCTACTGTTACAGTACGGACGCATGCTTTATATCCCGCTTTGAATCAAAATATAATCCAATTATGCATGCATCTATTAATAATCAATATTAGGGCATTCAGCAAGGTCATTCCAAATCAGTTATAAAAAAGCTCTTAGAGCTGCCGAACGCCTCATTTTGTAGGAAAATGTCTGCTCTACCAAATTGAAGTGCTATAAAATTTTAGTGTTATATATAGAGAGAATACAATAAATCGAAAACGCACTATAAGCATAGAAAAATAATCGACAGTCGCTTTTTTCGCAATTTTGCCCGGTTTTTGATGCTTATATTTCTATCGCAGATAACACTAAAATGTCTTTTTGACCTTCACTTTGGTAGTGCGAACATTTTTCTACAAAATGAGACATTCGACAGCTCTAAGTGCGTTTTTACAACTGATTTGGAAAGATTTTGCTGGATGCTCTAACATCGATTATTAATCGGTGCAAGCCTAATCCCGATCGGGATATGCTTCCCCACGTTTCTATGAAGGTAAGTGATATTAAGGTTAAAAAGTTGGAATCCAGTGTACTACGGAATCCAGTATTATTGGTCCCAATATACTGAGTGGCCAATAATTATTGGTCCCAATAGACTGGGTGACCAATATTGTTGGATACCCAATAGTATTGTACAATATCTTCAATAATGACTGGGATTGGTGCATGCCTAGTAGCGTCACTCTTCGTCTTGCGGAATAAATGAAGTCACAGCATGTTGCAACTTCGGAGAATGATACGTTAAAGGAAGAAGGTACTAATGATGATCATCGTCCATCACTTTTTTAATACTTAACCGCAACTGCTTATTTCATGTTTGCATTCTCACTGATTTCTGTTGTTATTATCATTTGTGCTAGGGAAGGAATTTTAAATCAACTTATAGACACCGTGCTGTTTACATCATTCTTTTTCTGTTCAGTTCTGTGTAGTGTTATAACCGCATTGCTTCGATAAGTAATTAATACATCTGTTGTATTTTGTGCACACTGTTACGCAGCTAAAAGTGTGAACACTGGTCAGACAATAGTCATCAGAACGAGTTCAAAACCTCAGAATATGATGAATGTTCTTAGAACCTATTAACAAAAATATGCTTTTTCGGTTTTCCGATCTTATAGTCACTTTTATCGGGCAACATTCATCATATTCTGAGGTTTTGAACTCGTTCTGATGTTTTTGAATGCACAGTGAGCTTTTTAATATTAAGTCTGAAAATCCCAATTTTGATAAAACTCCGTTTTCACCCCGTTTTTGGATTCTTTTCTCAAAATAAATGTTGCCATCGGATTGGCTTATCTGTTCATAAAGAAAAATGAAAGTATTCGTACTTGAAGTTTCTGAGCTATGAGTTGGTTCTCACAGGATCTCCTCGAAAACCTTCTTTAGAAAACTAATATTAATATCGATTATAAACATATCCTCTAAAATCTCTTCTTTTGAATGGTGAAAATCCAGGCTCTCTACCACGTTGCGTTCTCGAGATACTCAAAAAAATAGTCACGTGTCTTTTTATTTTTAACAGACAATAGTAACACTCTATCAATCAAATAATCGCTTTCTTACAGTGATATTAACTTCAAGATCATTAATCACTACTCTAGGATAATGATTCGGACTGATGGATGTAAAATTAACTGAAAAAAATAACAAATGTTTAGAAAATAAATACTAGAATGGAAAGTTTCTCATTAATAAGTTACCATTCTGTTTTTTCTTTTCTTCTGCTTATTCAACACATTTTCCTTTATTTTATTTAACAGTATCCATGTAATAATGATTTAATGTAAATATTCTTTGCTCAATATCTAATTGTTTGTTAATATCAATTAAACATTGTTTTTCCATTAATTTTATTTCTGTTATAATTGTATGTGTAAAACGATCAATAAAATGATAATCATAAGTATTATCACCACCAAGTAAATACAATAATATATTTTTTAAATATTCAGCTAATTGTTTTAATAAGGTATGACATGGTTCTTTTAATTTATGTTGTTCTTTTCTATATAATGTCTCAATGATATGAAAACTAGAAAAATTTGGTAACGCAACACCAGCATTTTCATCTAATAATTTTAAAATCATACTAGCATAAGTTGGTGTAAAAAAATTAGAAAATGATGCAATAATTTTATCTTGAAATCGTTTTTCTATTGTATAAAATTGATAGGCAATACGATCATCGTGTGCCGAATTCATTGTTTTTGGGTGTTGATGTTATTACTGATGAAGACGGCATAGTTGTCTAAAACGAGAGAAAAAAATGTGCTTATCTAACATTATTTAATTAATGTTATATCTACCATTATCATTGATAAATCATTATTGTAAACACCAGTTACTCTAGCAAAAATTAATTCACGATACATTTTAATTAATTTCCCAAATCTTACTAAACATTCTGATTCAGTTGTTAATGCTGATGGTAATTTATCTAGTTCAATCTGTTTCAGCTGGATTTGTGTTCTTAATTCGTCGATTATTTTCGGTAATGTAGAGCGAATACGTTCCTGTTGAATTCTGGCTAATTGTTTAACTAATTCTTCACTACCTAAGATTTAAAATAATTTTTAAGCTACCATTTGTTCTTACTTTAAATCACTTGAAAATTTCAACTATACAAATAAATATTCATGTATACACTAAAACAGTTTTAGATTTTGAATTCTCAGTAGAAAATTCGATGTACCGTATCAAGATTTACAATACTATACTAGTTTCAAGTCTCTCGCTTTTATGATCCAGGAGATATAAGTATTCCCCGACGATCCACTTTTCTTCTCAGACAGGTAGCGCTAGTAACATCACACACAGATGGAATATAGGTTTTCGGCCACGGTTATCATCATGACAGCGTTTATTTTCTTTCGTAGATTAAGCCACCCACTTTCGGAAATTATCGCCGACACTGTACATCCGATTTTGGCCAAACTTTCCGTAAATGTTAGGTTTAATGAGTTACGGGAATGAAAAATTTTTTTGTCTTCAAGTCTCATGCTTTAGAAGTTTTCCAGAGGTGAAGATCCAAAAAGGATCTCTGAAGTTTTTCCGAGGATGTTTTAATATACTGCAAGCTAGAGAGTTCTAGTTTGTTTCATTTTAAACTAGATACCTAACTAACTACATGGACTGACCTGAGCCGATGTTTTAATTAAGCCTTTATTATTTTTCCAGGCAACCAACAACCTCTAAAATCCTTCCGGGTTTTCTAAAATCCTCAATTTGATAAAAAACTAAGACCAAATTCAAAAATCGGCGCCGATCAGTCAATGCGGTTCCTTTTCCTATAAAAAAGAATGAACTCTCTACGACAAACCGCTATTAAAAACCTTGGGAAATACTTCAAGCGTAAACCCATGTAGAGCAAACGCTGTATAAAATGCTCAATTTTTTAGGACTTGTAGGAAAATGCCTGTAACTTTTTGACGCAGGGTCATACAGAGTTGTGTGGGGTCTTATTTTGATCAGGAATGTTTGCTCTACAAATCTATGAGTTGACAAAAAAAAATGCTTTGCTAATTATCCAAGAAAAGCTATTACTGGAAGACCCGCTTTTCGAAGATGCTAGAAAACTTGTCTGCAAGTCGCGAAAAATCACTTCTGTAAAGTGATACGGATTCTGAAAGTAGACACACTTCAGACTATAGTGCGTACCTTAAAATTTTAATTTGCGTATCCGATGTTTTGACATAAAAACACCATGTGTAAGAAAGATGGGGAATCCTTAAGAGCGTACTTTAGATAAACCATTTTTCACAAAAATCCGATTTTTTTCCTACATCCAAACAAAACTAAAAAATACATAATTCACTATCCTGTCTAAAATCAATGAAACATTAAGAAAATATGCAAAACAATTCGAACTCAATTTTTTCCACTTGTTTTATACTCTTAGAATCATTTTGAATATTTTCTGAAAGTAGTTTATCCTGTAATTTGAGATCGCTGTATTTGACGAAATTTTTGGATAAAATACGCATTACTTAATTTTTTTCAGCTAAAAGCAGTCAGAAATTGATATTTTTCCTAAAGCTACGTTTCCGCTAGAATTTTAAATATTTTCTTGAAGCCGAGCTGCGAGATTCAACAAGTAGTCAAAGAACACCCTAAATTTTGAAAACCTGGGTCTCTTATTGCACATAGTCCTAGAGAAAGGCAGTGTAAAGAGCTGCGCACATGCTAAAAGCCAGTTAAAGTTTTCAGAATGTGCATTTGTACAGCGGTAGAAAACTTACATCAAAGAACAAGGAGATTTTAAACCTCATTCTGTTTCGAAAAATCATTCCACCGTCTCTGCCTTCCGGTATGCTAAGAGCATGAAAGTCTGTCGGCGGCCGACATACAAATTTTCCTGCTGAATGGCATAAGAGACAAGAACCCTTGTGTGTGTTGGTAATCAAAAACATAGCTAATATACTACTGTCTTTGATAGCAAACCCATCATTTTCGATGTCGACGGACACTGGCATCTTTTGCATAATTTCGAATATATAACTCTAGACTTACAGTCAAGGGAATATATACAGTGTATTACACCGTTTGTATGCATGAGAGAACCTTTATGTACGCTTGAAAAAAGTTCATAGCATTTTAACTTTTCTTTGATTCTATCGTGAGTTTTCACTTACTGTAGATGCTAAACTACTGGTGTTTTATAGATTAAAACAAGATTTTATCATCATGTTAGTTGGTGAACTCAATAGTACATATGCTCATAATTTATTGTTATTTAATAAAAACATAGCTAACATACTACTGTCTTTGATAGCAAACCCATTATTTTTTATGTGGACGGACATCCACCTCTTTTGAAGAATTTCGAATATACAACTCTAGACGTACAGTCAAGGGAATATATATGGTGTATTACACCGCATCTATCCATTTCAATCATATTTGAGAGAATCTCATTCTTCTGTTTAGGTAGAGGAATCATCAGTTTTAGAACTCTCTGGTATTCAGTTACCTCGAGCTCAAAATATATGTACTAGATGTAAGTTGATTTTTGTATTATCATTACTAAATCATAATTATTCATCATCTAATTCAGATCCGTTAGAATTACGTTTAAAAAAGTTGTCTGACACGAGCGCTAAAGAATATGCAACAGTCCATTGTTTAGGACCAGATAAGATAGAACTAACCGATTTCAATAAGATAAATAAATATGTTATTACATTCACAAAATTTCCATCCTCGGCATAATAATTTCATTTCATTTTCATCCAGAATCCGATTAGAAAGATTGTAAAGTAATCTGTTTTTGTCTAATAGCGCTGACTTCGTGTGATCAACTGTTGCTCCATGTAATACTCTCAATTTCTCTCCATGGACCTTTTCTTTTTTGGATTTTTCTAACTTACAAAAATAATAAAAATAATTTTTGACCCGATGGTTATCTAGTACCGAAATCTGTGGCGTAAGACACTTCAAACCAAATTCAACTTGATTTCTCACCAGCTTTAGACTACGTTCTTTTTCATGTAACTCAGCGAGTAACATCTTCCTCTGAAATACTTTGACATAATACGAGTTCATCATTTTCTTCTTATATAACTTAAATTTGATAAATTTAGGTTAACCCATACAACAGACAGCACCTTAGAAATTCCACATCACTTTCTATTTTTATCTGTTTCTTCATCTTCTTCTCCACATCTCTCAAGGTAGCCAACACTGATCGTTCATATTTGGATCCGATCAATTCAAATATATTGATGCTTTTTGACTTTTTTACGTTTTTAATGAAACATAGTATATTCAAAATTATAGAAAAGAATTTAAGTAAAATCATTTTACATACAAACAGCGAGCTTTCGACAATGTAGACTACGGGAATATCTCAAAATGTCTAGTACACTTTTCGCTTTATTCTGAGACATTTCAGAGCAATGGACGTTTCGCGCTCGAACTTATAGGAGAAACAAAATACAAAAAGATCATAATTGAGTTTCACTCTGGTGGCAGAGTTACATGGACAAGCAGCATCGAATCTTCTTTATGAGCCATTGCACGTAAGCCACGACCGGCGTTCTTCAATCGACATTCTCGAAACTTTTCCAAAGTACGGGGCTTTTGTAGACCAAACATTTTAAGGAATTTTTGTAAAAGGCGCAAATCAAAAAGTTGTATCTTGCTGAGATATTGATATTTTACGAAAAGCCCTGAAAAACGTAGATTTCGCCATCTTGAAAATTTGCCAACTTTAAACTCTTCTAACGCAGTAACAACAGATTACTTAACCTTGGCGATTTTACCATCAGTAGCAGATAGTGTCTACCACAAATCTACGCAACCGCGAGCTCAAAACATGCTTTCGTTATTTTATAATAGATGACACACTAAGAGCCCAAATCCAGAAAACCGTGAATTCATCCTGCAATTTGTGGGTTTCGCTAAAATGGCTTCGGGGGCACCGAGTTCTAGAGGCTTGCTTCAATTGGTACATTTCTGCTATAGTATATTAAAATTTCAATAAAAACCAGTTGACATGCAACTTTTCACAAGGAATTCAACGGTAAACTTAATTCTATTATTAACGCGGTTCTATGTGCGAGTTCCACCGAGAGTACTTCTAATAGATTCATTTCTGATGGATTTTCATATGCCGGTCAGTGGCTTTTGAATAACTGAAGAACGAAAAGCGATAGACACTTCTGATTTTTGCGATTAGATAGCCAAGACTTTAAATTACCTTTTTATAACTAAAATAAAGTTGAAAGTACTTCTCAGTGACCGGTTTTCTAGGAGATCTCTAGAAAACCGTTTTGTAACTCTAAGCGGTAAAGTAGCAATAGATTGTTTTTTTTGTGAATAACTAGCCTAAACTGTCCTCTTCAAAATGGGAGCCAAGCGAGACTTTGATTTTGAGTGCTCACAAATGTGAAAAAGTATAAAATTTCTACAGTGAAACCCTGCAAATGACTCGATTAAGGTCAACACGCATGATGTTTGAACGGGAAAATAAACATGTTGACTTTAATCGAGACCTTTGCAAGGAAAAAACTCCATAAAACAGTTTTTGCAGCCGAAATCAGAAGATCTGGGCTCCCTGTCATAATAGAGCTCTGGTTTCCGATTCATCCTTTTTTTTCTAAGAATATTAAAGAATTGCATCGAAATCTGAAAAAAATAAATAGAAATTACCTTTCGAACGCATTTGACAAGTAGAAAAACAAATTTGTATGCTTCACGCATATAACAAGCGCTTAGTTTGACGTGAGCAACACTTAGTGTCACTTATCGCCTGATATCTGTTTCGATCTAATAAAAGACTTTGTGCTTTCAACTCTGATTTAGTTTCAGTTTTTCATGAACACAGTTATGTGCGTGTGTGATTATTTTTACAGTTTACTTTTTCTTCTCGAGAAGAAAAACTAATGGGCTCAACCTCTACATAATATGACAAAAGTCATATTATGTAGAGGTTGAGTCCATTGGCTTTACAACCAAACGGTTGCAGAGACACTGAAATGTGTTCTGAATACATTGCGTGCAGTCTAAAGTTGGTTGTAACTAGCTATTGCTTGTGTGTTTTCCTTTACAACAACTTTAGACTGCAAGAGAAGAATAGCTTCAATAAAACAAAACGTGGAGAATACTATGATTTTTGTTTAGGCATCAGATCCCGAAGAGAAAGCCGGTAAGATCTCATATCTAACAATTAATCTCAAGCGCTTCAAGATAGTATTGTATTACACTAAGAATGAACAAAACTACATGAACAATATAACAACGTAAAAAAACTTTTAAACAATTTTTCAGTTAACGAGACAAAACGCAAAATTTAATTCCTCTAACTTTTCACATCCATAATAAGCGAAAACCTATGGTAGGGGTCCGAAATGCCAGGTGAAAAATGAAAGTTGCTTTTCGACAGAAAAAAGACTTCATTTTACTCAGAATTTGATGCTGATTCCGAATATGTAAGTCTTTTTCGAAAATACCGTGGACAAAAATCGGCCTTATCGATACTACTCTTTTGCCAGCATTTACAACTACTTTAGGTTACGTAATTCTCAATTTACGCGATACTGAAACTCATTTATTTGTTTTTCGTTGTTTCGCAATAAAAGTGCATGGAATGAAACAGAAATCAAGATTGCCAATGGTCTCATAATATCATAGCCCGGTCTCATAGCTCGAACGAGATATATATCCCATTTGGGATATAAAAATATATCCTGATCCGGCTATGATATCCTGATCAGGATATATATTCCAGTCGGGAGATATTATACATCCACTTCTATATATATCCCGAACAGGATATCATAGACGGATCAGGATATAGTTTTATATTCTCGAATGGGATATGGTATAGTGAAGGTATATTAAAACAAGGTGGTTTTTGTTTTTGAATGTGCGTGTGTGAGTTCATCTGTGAAGAAAACTAATAATATTACATTATATTAAATTTACATGAGTATGTAAACTAATATAAGTAGGGATGCAACGGTAGCAGTAGTTTACCGGTTTACCGTAACCGGTACTACCGTTACCGTTCTACCGTCACTACCGTTACTACCGCTACTGTTCTACTGCCGTTATCGGTCCACAGGTTTTATTGTTCATTGCGGACAGATAGTATCGATTCTAGAGAGAGTGAAATTCTGTAGAGCATATGACGATGTCGTTATTGTAACAGATTCTGATGCTTTATTCTACATTTTATTTTTCTCTGCATTTTATTGGCTTAAGCAGTCTCGAATAACCACAATACCATACAAATAATGGTTTGTGACGGCTTTGTTTAATTTTCTTTTTACATAAACAGTGGATGAAACCTGAGCAACTCGCAAAATCTGATTTCGGCTTACTAAGGTTCACGAATTTTGATTCTTTCATGTGTCTATGAGTTATTGAAGACTGAATTAAGTTACATTTGCAACTGTGTGATTTTTACAATAGATTTTATCCGGAAAAGGTTACCTACGGTGACCGGTAAAATGGTACGGGTAGTAACGGTAGCGATTATTAGCGACGGAGACGATTATTTGATGGAATCGGCCCCTGCTTGAATTTCATTGACACATACATGGTTAGATGCAGAATGAACAGGAGAACATTCCTAGCCACTCGGCAGACCTTAGAAATGCTCTCAGAAAAAACTAGGTCTACTCTTCTTTGTTCAACGATGACGAGTGAAGTAGCATTATAGCCTGGGCAATGCCTTATTTCGTATAGTAGACTGTCTTCTTCAACGTAAGAGTTAAGTAAACTTCCATGAGCATTCATTTAAAAAGCTGTTTTTAAAAGTTTAGTTAAAGTGTTATGACTGAAAAGTCACTTTTTACGTGATTTTTGGTAACTTATCTCTATTTGTGGCGGCGTGTCTGAGAGTTCATTTGATTATCATGTGAAAGAAGACAGTTTACTCTGTGAAATAACGAAATAAGGCATCGTCCCGGCTATTACGTTATTTCCGTAACGTTATTTGGAGCCATAATTATTTCAAAACACTGACATCTGCAGAACTAAAATTTGTTCGGCTCTGTTTCTGTTGCTTGGGAAACGTCAAGTGAAATATCTAGACAAGGAAAAAGTATGAAGACGTACATTCGGCATTGGCTTAAAAAGAGAACGCCGACACACTAAAACTTATGAGTGAATCAGCTTCGATCTCAACAGTCACGCTTAAATGACAAATACCTTTTACTTCTGATACATACATCTAAAGGAAAGAGCGGAAACTTATCAATTTTGTCCACATCGCTGCCGTTGAGCCAGAAAGCGGACTAAGTGTGACCGAATTCCAAATGGAATGGCTGTCCATATTTCTTGATTAACTTCTGGATAATGAAAGACAAAGAACTCTGACTGGATTCCCTTCGATTAAATTGTGGCCGATACGGGTCTGTATGATATATCCCCTGTGATGTATAAGCGGCACCTACAAAAGAGTTTCTAGTGGACCAACCTCAGTTGCATTGTGTCTGGTAATTCGCTGTGCAAGGAAAGGGACAGTCATTCGAGTTGGTACGTTACTTGTCTGTTTCCTAGAATAACTGCAGTAAGAAATGCCTAATAGAATTCTTGTGTTAGATCGAGCATTTATATCTATCAGCTCAGCTATCGCAGTAGTGCTTCTTGTACGAACTTCGTGGTTCTCTGTGTTTTCACCACAGATTGTGATAAAAAGTGTGTAATCAATACGTGCAGCTTATCACACAAAAAAAAGGTTGAAAAATGATGCTAAGGGTCTATGAAGAAAAAAGCAATGAACTTTCGACTGTTTTCATTGGTCGTCGATATTTCAGTTCTTCAATGCATCGAGGATGGTTTTCTTATCTGGTTCTTAGACATCTTCCCAATTAAATTTACTTAACGTTGTGTTCACTAGTAAAGCATCTACATATCACCGACAAAAAATTAAAGTTTATTTAGAGTTAAAGCAAAGTACTTTTTCGTATTCAGCACACTTGATAACCTGGAAAATTTTCTATTCTTAGCGAGGGGTACCGCCAAAAAGTTAAGAAAAATTTTTAAAATTGTTTAATTTTACCATGAGGATTTTTCTGCGTCAATTTGTTTGAAAATTTTTCTTAACTTTTTGACGGTACCCCTCGCTAAAAATAGAAAATTTTCCAGGTTATCAAGTGTGCTGAATACGAAAAAGCACTTTTCTTTA